CCTCAACCTTGCCTCCCACTGGCTTGGTGCTCAGGACACTTCAACCAGAACCTCTGGAGGTGGGGAGCACTTGAGGTTCCTGAGTGGGTCCGTGATCAGCCAGGACTGGAAACCACTGTGTTCAGGACCGATAGGATGCTAAGGGAGAGAAGTGGAGGATAAGTGGTTCCAGGAAGAGGCGGTGTTTGTTTCAGACCTGGAGGATGGAGTTGGGGAGGGGCAGCGGTGGGTGGGGGGGTGGGAGACTCTGGAGCAAAGCTGAGTCAGAGAGGTGGAAAATCCCATTAAATCTCACAATTCTGGGCCATAGGTCTCCTTGCATCCTGCTCACACCTGGTGGTATACTTTTCCCCGATGAAGGCCAGCGTGACCTGCTAATGCCCCTGGAGACCCCTCCAGCATGGAAGAGCTGATAGGAGAGGCTAGTTCCAACCCAGACTAATCTTCCCGAATCCCAGGTCAGTTCATTGTCTTTGTGGGCCCTACACAATCATGTCAATGCGCACACACACACACACACATACACACACATTAGGTTGGCCCCAGTTCCAGCCTAGACAGTGCTATGTCACAGTGGCAGATGAAGGATAGGGTGGGGAAGGAGGTATATCCGGCCATTAGTCTTCACCAGTTGCCCCCTGTCTGCCCCTGAGCCCAGGCTGCTGTGGCCAGATGCCTCTGCATCCTCCCTGCCAGGTGAGAGGGTGGGGTCTGGGTGACCCTGTGCCCACCGCCCAGTCCTATTGCAGAAATGCTGGCCTGGAAGCAGGGCACTGACACTCTGGGCTCTGACTGACCACTCCCCTCCCCCTCTGTCACTGCCCTCAGGTGTCTGGGTTTAGGCTTTCTAGAAGCCACAGCTTCCTCCCTACAGCCATGAATGTCACAGGCTCCAGCTTGAAGTGGGGGCAGAAGTAGAAAAAAATTTAGAACTCAGGATGTTTTAAAAAAAAAAAAACAACAACAACATAGGATCAACTACCCAAGAAGGGGATACACACAGACCTTCTCAGTTGCCCCGGCCACTGCCGAGGCAGAAGCTGGCCAGGACAGCTGACAGAGAGCCAGGGAAGGGCCTTCCCACACAGTAAGAACGAAAAGCTTTGCCCCTTTTGGATAAAAGCAGGTGTGAGGGGTTGGTGGGCAGGGATGGCCGCAACACTTACTCAGTTCTATTATGAAAATAAGTTCACCGAGAGCAGGGACTTGTGCCCTTTGGTCCCATGCTTCAAACCCTGTCCAGCTCATGGCAGGCACTCAATAAAAGTACACCGAAGGAAGACTGAATACACCGGATTCCCAAACACCACTTAGCACCTGCTCCCTGTTAGGTCGGGCCACATCCTGGGCACCTCGGCCCTCTCCCACCTGCAGCCTCACCTCCTCAGCCCCACCGGCTGGAGAACTCGTTGGAAGAGCCATCACTTCCGTTCGACTGATGGGAAAACTTGTTTATTTGAGCAGAGAGGGGTCAATGGGTTCTCACAACAAGGACATGGGCTCTACCAAGAGAGGAATGAACCCCAAGGCCACCTTTGTCAGCCACAGGCATAGTTTGGTCCATCCGGTTTGTTCCAGAGCCACGGGCCACGTGGTCCCTGGGCAGGTTCGAGTCATCACGGGAGTGTGTGTGTGTACACAGCCCGACCCTGGGCTCTCAAGGGTTAGTGGACCGCAGAGAACAGAACACGACTCCTTCCTGTAACCAAATAGCCCCGAGAGGATGCTCATTATTCTGATGAATAATGCAGACAAGCAACGAGAGAAGCGACAGGTGGCTCCCGCTGGTCTGTCCGCGCAGATGAGGTGGGTGAGGCAGCAGAGACGAGACGGGAGATGTTCTCAGAGACGTACATTTTTTTAAATTAAAAACACTCTCGGGCTTTGCTAGAAGGCTTTGTAACCATGATCTCCAGGATCCAGATCGCTCTAATGAGCCCAAGCAGGAAGGTTTCACTGTCCAAGACATCTCATGTTGCAAGTCAGACCTCCCATGACTCCTCGGAGCAAGAGTGCCTTCCTGGTCTTGGATTTGCAATCACAGGCTTGCCCAGTGTCTCCTGTTTTAGCCCAACAACTGCCAAGGGCACGTCTCAGCAGCCCAGTGGTTGCCCTGTTGGAAGGAGAGAACCAGGCCCCCTGCAGACTCACCCCCCTTACCTACAGGCAGATTGAATACTGTGCCCAGGAGGGACAGATGCCCCAAGCTTCCCCGGAACCACAGAGATAGGACAGGAACCGGGACGATGAGTGCTCTCACCCAGCCCGGGGAGGGGAGAGAGGGAAGGTCTGAAGGCAGGCTACAGTGCTCCACACGTGTTTCCATAAAACCCCACCCCATGCATTCGCCCTTAATAACCTGTATCCCCTGGCCTAGCCCATTGGTCTCCCAAGTGAGAAGGTTGAACGTGAAAGAACATTTTTCTACTGTAACTGGGGGACTGAGGTTTGATTTTTATACAATCAAATCAAGCCCTCTTATCTTCATTTTAAATTGTTGGGCATTGCCTCAGTGTCTATCTTTTTCATTTTTCAATTTGATGTTTTCAAATTGAGTTTTTTTTCTCCTTCAAAATTGTTCTATCAGCTGGCACAATGCCTGCAATATGTGTTTTGCTTCCCATTGAGGCCCACTGTGTGTCTGAACCCTCACCAGAGGGGAGGACCCTGCTATGAGATAAAGGTGTGCCCAGCCTATCTTTTCTTTTTCTTTCTTTCTTTCTTTCTTTTTTTTTTTTTTATTGTTGACACTATTACAGATGCTCCCCAGTGCTTAGCCTTTCTAAGGCTCAGTCTGGCTGAGCTTATGTTAGGTAATTATATCTATAAAATTCATGTTAGGCAGAAGCATGGTCACCTCTGGGCAGGGGAGCAGCAGGGAGGGGGCACAGGGCTGGGAGGGGTGCCTGTAGGGTCCTGGTTCTTGCACCTCTGGGGTGTCTCTAGGTGTCAGTATCGTCATTGACTGGGCATCCAGAATTCGTTTTCTCTATGTGAAATTTTGTTTTAAACATGTGTATTTTTGTTTTTAAATATATTTGTATTGATTTCAGAGAGGAAGGGAGAGGGAGAGAGAGATAGAAACATCAATGATGAGAGAGAATTATTGATCAGCTGCCTCCTGCACGCCCCACTCTGAGGATTGAGCCAGCACCCAGGCATTGGGCCTGACTGGGAATCAAATCATGACCTCCTGGTTGACAGGTTGATGCTCAACCACTGAACCACACCGGCTGGGCTTAAAAGTTTTTTAAAAATAAAGTGACTTTTGATTGCCTATGTGTGAATACAAGGGGCCAACCTGAGCTTGTGGGGGTGGGGAACAGAAAAAGAACACACCCGAACAGACTCAGAGACACAGCTAAAGTCACAAATAAGTTGCTTTTTGTCATTATAACCCAACAGACCTGTGTTCAATGCAATAACTAACTACTTGTTCATAGGTTAAGTCACAGGCATGCCAGATTTAGCCAAAAATCAATGAACAATGTCTTAGTGTATGTCCTCTGCAATAATTTGAGACATACACTTAAAAAATGACTTGTTATTTGTCTGAAGTTCAAATGTAACCGGCTGTGTTTTATCTAACCATAAGATAAAGGCCGAAAGGTCCTTGCTGGTAAATCTAGTACAACAGCAGGATTCCCACCATCAGGCACCGTGGGCCCCAGACAGCAGGTGGGGATGGTGGCCAGAGGGGTCAAGGGTCAGCCCTCCACCCCCACCACTGAGGCTGCTTAAATCACCCTTCAGGGCCATGGGTACCTAGTTCAGAATAAATGTCTTCAGAAAAATCATAAATGGGTCTTTCTTGCACCAGAATGTAGTGAAGTGAAATTTATAGCCATTACCTTATCCGAATGTACTAGACCAGTCTCAGAAAGGGTACAGTGATTTGTCCTGCCAACAGCTCAGTGTCCCTCTGTCCCCGGATCCCCCATCTTGGGCCTGCCCAGGGAAATGTACCAGGTGGTCATTTCAGATCACAGACCAGAAAGTACTAGATGCATCCTATGACTCTACACACCACACCACAGCCAGGAGAGAAGGACGGTTCTGGTAGGGTTTATTTCACCAGTCTCAGGGTGCTGTAAAGTCTTCCTGTGCAGAAGGTAACTCTAAGGAACACACTTGAAATGCCTCTAGAGAACTAGAGATTCTAAACCTAGCAATCATCTGGACCACACACACCTGCATACGGCTTGAGTCATCTTTCCTACACAGGCTCTAGGCCAGTGGTTCTCAACCTTTCTAATGTCATGACCCTTTAATACAGTTCCTCATGTTGTGGTGGCCCCCAACCGTAAAATTATTTTCGTTGCTACTTCATAACTTGAATTGTAATGTAAATATTTTGTTTTCCAATGGTCTTAGGCTCTACAGCAGTGGTTCTCAACCTGTGGGTCGCAACAAACAGGTTGAGAACCGCTAGCAGGGTTTCCTTAGACCATCAGAAAACACAGATATTTACATTACGATTCATAACAGTAGCAAAATTGCAGGTATGAAGTAGCAACAAAAAAAATTATGATTGGGGGCCACCACATCATGAGGAACTGTATTAAAGGGTCGTGGCATTAGAAAGGTTTAGAACCACTGCTCTAGAGCAAAAAGGAGGTAGTTGGGTCCCAGTTTTGGCCAGCAACCCTCCAAAGCCATGGATTGTCAAGATCCACTCCTTTCCTGAGGGTCAGGGGTGCTGAGGGCATGACCCCAGGGTCCTGCCAGTGACCAGGTGGCAGGAGGAACAGGAGCTGGTGTGAAGGAGGACCAGTCCAGGCCTCTCTGACGGTGCCCCAAAGCCCAAGAGCTGTGGTTTGCCACCCTCTGGACCAACCAAGAGAGGGCCTCCACCAAGGATGGGGCTCTTGGAAGTTGCAGTTAAGGTGCCAGGAAACCCAAACTGAGAGTCCTCTCCTCTGAGCAGCCATCTGCCCAGCTGCTCAACACTGCCGCCAACATGCATGTCCATCCGTGAGCCTGGACAGCTCTGTATTCTCGCTGCACTCTGTCCAGGAGCCATGGTTGTATCTTTTTTTAGTGGAATGGGGCAAAAGAAGTGGGCTATTTACAAGCTAGAGCTCCTGACCCTGGGCCTGGAGTCTAGTGGCTCTGTGCCTCCTTCTCCTGCCCCTGCTGTGAGCAGCTCGGCCACACAGGCAGGAGCTGCCTGTCACCACACGAGGGCTCCACTGACTGACAAAGGTCTATTCAGCCCTGCCAGCTGTGGAGAGAGTTCCCTTTTCCTCCAGGTCTAGGAAACCAGGCACATTCCTGACTTGGAGGAGGGAGCAGCTTCCTCCACGGTGATCCCCTTCATGTCATTGGGCATCTGCCCGTCAGCACGCCACACATTCAGCTCCCCAAAGATGCCCGTCTCAATCATCTCCTCCTGCCAGGGGATGGAGCAGTTGCCGGTGGCAAATTCCTGGAAGAACTCTGTATCTGCTTTGTCAAAGAACACACCTTTGACTGTGGAAAAGGCCCCTACGTCCTGGATGTTCTTGGCATAGACAGTTCTGGAGTCTGGGATGAAGGGGGGCATCAGCATCCCTGTCGGAAGACGGAAAACACAGGTGTGAAATGGCTCAGGGAGCAGGGCCATGGTCTGGCTGCTGCCTCCCTGGAGGGGTGTCTGAGTTGCTAACAAATCAGCGCAACTGAGAGGGTCCTGGGTGTCCCCCACAGAGCCCCGACATGAAGGACAGTGTGTTCTTGCCTGGCATGGTCTCCTCCCCTCCTCACCGTAGACCCCCTACTGGTGCCCTCAAGCCAGCCTCCCCTGCAGGTCAGACACCTGGAACCCAACACGCTCAAAGATGAGTTTCTCATCCTTCCAAAGCCAGCTTTTCTCTCAAACCTGCTCAGGGGGCGATTCCCCAGTCACCAGACACAGAACTTTAGTCGCCCAGGACTGACCCTGCCTCCCTCTCACTTATCACCCGCTCCCTCCTTTCAGCTCATGGATGGGCTGCCAGACCATTGCAGTGACCTGAGGAGTAACTCTGGCTCAACTACTCCAGGTTCTAATCGCTCAAAGCTGCGTGTCCTCACCCCAGCTTCGGCTGGTCTGAACCGCTCTCCTGGTGAGCCCCCTTCAGATCAGCCAGGACTCACCTCTGTTCTGATCCTTTCCTGCAAAGGAATTTCTTGACTACTCACTGTTCTCGGGTTCCTGCCATCTAGTCACATGTTTACATTCTCTGGCTGTAAATTCTGGACATGTGATTGTGTCCTACACTTTTCCCTCACAGACACATGCACACAAGCACACACATACATACATACATACATGCACACATAGAGACACATACATGCACGCACACACACAAGAGCCTGCACATGACACCTGGTAACAAATGTTGGTTGAAGGAATGAATTTCTCCCAAACAGACAGATTGAGCTATCCTGCCTTGGTGTGGATCATGGGTTCTATGAAAGAACAGGGTATGAAAATGCAAAACAGCAGGCTTGGATCAAAGGCCAGCCAGTATATTCCCTAGATATTACATTCAACCTTTTCCATACTCCAGAAGGTGTCCTAAAAGGCCTAACCCATTAACACACAGTCCTGGGTGCATGGGGGATGAATAGAGTACTAGACGGTGGTAGTTTTCCTAGGGGGCTGGAGGGTAGCTATTGGAAAAGCATCAACCAGGTGTCCTTGCTCTGCTGACATTGAGCTAAGCCTAGATGATGACTATAGGATGGGTCAGGCAAGCAAGAGTCATCTAACAGGCCTACCCCCCTCTCCCCCAACCCAGATCCAAAGGTATGCCAACAGTACCAGCCTCGAGCTGTCTCCAATTAATGTCTTTAAAGAGGGGGTTAACTCGGAGCCCATCACAAGTCCCATCTCTAAACCCCAGGCGCTTCTCCGGGTCCTTCTCCAGCAGTGCCTCACAGAAGTCCTTGCTGGTCTGGCTGAACTTGTCAGTGTACTTGACCGCCTCTGAGAGGATCCTCTGCTTGAGCTCCTTGTTCTCCACCTGCATGGTGGAACACACATCATGTTAAACCCCTGCCAAGCCCACTAACATCGTCAGAGCTGGCCCCTCAGGCTCCAGGAGACTGGCCAGCCCCTGTTGGTGTCTGGGCAGGGCTAGCACTCCTCTCAGAAAGAGGCCGGCCCCTCCTTCACACCGAGGCAGAGGTGATGGGAATACCTAAGTGCATTCTCCTTCTCAGCATAGAATGGCTCAACATCCCCAGTGAAAGGAGTGGAACCCTAAAGGTACTGGTCAAAGTTGGGGTGCAGTACAGTTTAAGGAGTTCTGGTGGACATATTATATATAATCACTTATTAGCTATTCGAGAAAAAAAGAATGAGAAGGAACAATAAGTCAACTTCATAGAACTGGTAGAGAAGTCTTCTAACAATAGAAACATTTCATCTTGTTTTGAATCCGCTTTATCAAATATAAATACACATACCACAAAGCTCCATCTTCAGTGACGTGAGGGAAGGGTTTTGATCAACAGCTAGATACTTCACCACCATCACCCCAAAATTCCCCTGTGCCCTCTGCAGCCCACCTTCACCTTGACCTCAGGCAAACACAGACCCATTTCTTCTCACAATAGAATAGATATGCCTTTCCTAAAATTTTCTAGAAATGACACCATTTAATTAACAAGTTTGAGGCCCGTTCATGCTGTGTGTGTATTTAGGTTCCTTCCTTCATGTCACTATGGAGACAGGAACTGAAAGACATGCTTGATTCACTTTGGGCATCTCATAAAAGCCCATCACGTTTATTAACACACAGCAAATAGGGAGTGTGCTTGGGGCTGTGGGTCAGTGAGAGCTCTGAGATGGGAGCTGGGAGCTTCTATTGTGGCCCCACCATTGGTCTTACTCTGCTCTTCCAAGCTGTTGGAAGTCAGGAGAGAGAACTGGTGACTAGAGGTCAAGGTGGAGCTGCAGAGACACAGAGGGGCTGGTGTGTTAGTCATGGGAGCACTCTTTGCTCTTAGAAGATGGGGGACAGGATTGGGGCCTGGGACGGACACTCTAGGTCCAGGCAGAAGACAAGAATGGGCGTGACCTCCATACTAAATGAGGTGGGTGGGTACAGGTACCATGTCTAAAGACTGCCATTCACACCAGGCTCCCAGTGGTGCCTCCACATTCCCGGTTTATGGAGATGCATGGGGCAGAGGAGTGTGGGAGGCCAGGGATCAGTGCGCAGCATGGGATGTCCACTTTCCTCCAAGACATTAAAAAAAAAAACTGCTGTGCTATACCTGAAGCAGGTCATGTGGTTTCTTAGCATCATGGGAGGGGGGCTCTTAGTATTCATCTACAGGGAAGAGGACAAAGGCCATCAAAGGAACCAGGCCAGCTCCAGGGGAAGGGTGTGAGTGCTGCTCACAGGGGAAGGCTTGGGAAAGCTTAGGCACCTCTCATCCTGAGCTACGTGAGATGGAGTCACTGTGTCTCTTCTCTCCTGCCCATGAAGGACCTTCCATGAAAAGCATTATGCTCAAGATTTAAGCAGCTCCGCACCAGGTGAGCTGCAGCAACACCTCCTCCTATGACACCCACCCAACAAGGAGAGTCAACCCCAGGACAGCTGCAGAGGACCACCTCCTACCTTCTCTCCCCGGGCTCGGAAGGGTCCTCTGGCCGCAATCATCTCATACAGCGTCACCCCCAGGGCAAAGTAATCCACAGAAAAGTCGTACTCCTCACCCCGCAGAAGTTCTGGGGCCATGAAACCTGCCAGGCAAGAGCACAGTGTGGACTCAGAGACGCAGCTGCACAGAGCCAGTGGTGAGCACAGAGCTGATGCTCCCATGGGCGCCTGGTGACGTCTGTGGTGTGGCTGCCCTGTGCGCTGTGGGGTGCTGAGCAGCACCCCTGGATTCCATCCACTATTTAGCATGCCCTCCCCAGTTGTGACAACCAAAAATGTCTCCAGACATTGCCGAGTGTCTCCTAGGAGCAAATTGCCTCTGGTCGAAACCACTGCTCTATACACATGGTGTGAAGCTTCATCTCCCCTTAGATCCACCATGACAGTCAGAGCCATGGTTCTTGCCTCTCAGGCACCAGTGTGTGACCTCGGGAGCTATCTCTGTGTGTGGTTGTGAGGGTAGCAAAGGCAGGCACCTGAAATGGCATGTTCTTGGTTACGGGCACATCCCCAGTAGGGGGTGTGCAGGAGGCAGCTGATCAATGTTTCTCTTTCGTCGATGTTTCTAACTCTCTGTCCCGCTCCCTTCTTCTCTGTAAAAAATCAATAAAATACATATATTTTTTAATCAATAAAATATATTTTTAAAAATAAAAACAAATAAATAAATAAATAAATAAAAGGGAGATGTTCTTGGCAACACCAGCCAAGCCACTGTGATTGCAGAATCATTTCTTCCCAAAAAGGTTACAGGAGTCAAATTCCAAAGAACCTCCTGGTCCTGAAGACACCTTTATAAATTCCGCTTATCGAGGAGTTACATGATAATCCAGACTGCTCAGACTTTGTAAAAAAGATATGTTCAACCAATCACAACTTCTAGATTTAAAATGGGGTCCTAGAGACGGGCCAATCAGACCACAGGGATGCTGTCATCTCCTGTGAGAAATAACTCAGTGGCATCTCTAGTCTGTTCCACCCAACTCAGTCCCAAACGATGCATCCTTTTCAATCCTTGGGTTCTTACATGACGCCTGGGCAAAGAGCCAGCAAATACCTGTTGTATGAATGAATAAATAAGTTAATGAATAAATACTACTTAGTTACTAATTCCTCCACATATTGACTCATTCCCTGTTCCTGGCTGGAAACTCATTGAGGACAGAGATCATACCTTATAGCTCTTAGAGAGTATCCCACTGGCAGGCACAGCCCTCTTCATGGTCAATTGCAGAGGCTCAGAGGCTCAGAGGCTCTAGCCCTCAGTGGAGCCTAGGGTTCGTGCAGAGGGGCTGAAGAAGAAGGATCCAGAAGGCAGCCCCCTGTGGCTTTGCTGAAGGCCCCAGCCTTATAAGTTACCCTAACATCTACTGAGACCGGTTTGGCTCAATGGATAGAGCGTCGGCTTGGGGACTGAAGGGTCCCGGGTTCAATTCCGGTCAAGGGCATGTACCTTGGTTGCGGGCATATCCCCAGTAGGGGGTGTGCAAGAGGCAACTGATCAATGACTCTCTCGCATCGATGTTTCTAACTCTCTATCTCTCTCCCTTCCTCTCTGTACAAAATCAATAAAATATATTTTTTTAAAAAATAATAAGTTACCCTAACATCAGTATCTGCTGCCACCCTTCACCTGAGCCCAATTGCTCAGAGCCATGCTTGAATGCACTGGTTAGGGGAGCCACCCCCCTGGAAAGCTTCATCCCTTCTGTTCAAAGAACAGCTGTAGCTCCGTGGCCACAGCAAAGCCTATGGGGCCCTCTGGTGGCTGGCAGGGTCCTCTCACTCGGCACAAACAAGGTCAGGCTATATCCTGGAGGTCAAACTACTTCAAATCCTGGCTCTGGAGTTTTCTGGGCTTTCTCCTAACAATCTGAATCACCCTGGAATGCGTGAGTAGTGTTTCCACTCACTTGCTCATGCCAGGAATGGAATGTCATAGACTTGGGCTGAGGATCTAGAAATTCAAGAGTAGATCTTTCCCTCAATAAAGCCACAGATGAGGACAGACACTGTGGTGACAGGTACAAACACCAAAAAAAGCCCAAACCCCAAAGATTTGAAGGATTCTGTGACACAAACAAGAAAGCCATCAAAGGTGGAAGCTTTCAGTACAGAGGGCACAGCACATTAAAACCAATCATGGTTCTTCAGGCAGGAGGGCTCCTCCTTGCAGTGGGCCCCAGCTCCTGCTGCAGGGGTGCAGTCCCACTAGCCAGTCCTTCTGGTTTCACTCTTTGCTCTGGGGATGAGGGAGCCGCTGCCCTACAAACCCCCAGCCCTCACCGTGCCACCTACCCCAAGCCATGGGGACGCCAGGGGCTTCACCCCTTCTCTTGAGAGACACTGCTCCCATCCTTGCTCTCAGGCTCTTACCTGGGGTCCCTGCATAGCCCTTGGTCTTGGTCTGCCCTTCCTTCAGCTCTACGGCCAGCCCAAGGTCGGAGATTCGGATATTCCCTGGAAAGTAAACATGGGCTGAGGTCATGTGTGGCGCCACAGAACAAAGGCACCTGGTGTTCCTGGAGCCCACAGGAGCCAAGAGCCAGCCTCTGCACACATGCATACACGCGCACAAATGCTCATGCACATGTGCACACATAAATGTATCTGCAAACACACGTGCTCACACCTACTTACACATACACACACACTCATGAACAGGTGCAGACACGCACACATGCGCATTCACACACTCACATGCACACTCCAGGGGGGTGTCATGAAGCCTAAGCACCCAGGTGTCTTTGTCCCAGTTAAACCACAGAGGAATGGAAGGGTCCCATCAGCGCCTGCAACCTGAATTCGGAGCATAACCCACCCAAGTTCTGTTTCCTCCTCTGTCTTCTCTTCCAAGCTCTGTAGCAACAGCCTTTGGGAATGCCCATGCATTTGTGTGACTCGGTGACAGAAAGGGAGGTAAATCTAAAGGGATATACGCAAAGGAAGCCTAAATCTCTATGTTTCTTTTCTGGTAAGAATCCCAATTTGACAGAGAAGGCAGAAAGAAAAGAGTGACAGAGTGAGGATTGGGCCATAAAATCTTCACTATTTACCAAGAGTTCCACACACTATAGACACTCTGGCTTAGCTCCCTGTAACACTGGGTGCCGCATTAGGCACCAAATTTCATCCAAGTCCACCCAAAATCTCCATCTGGAGACAATGCCATTCGGTTGCAAAATAGCTAAAGGAACAGTCAACAACCTTAAGAAATGTCTTGGTGCCACTTAAAGCTCTGACGAGCATATGTCAAAACCAGCCCCTACCCCCTACAGATGATCCAATGGGCCACAGAGTCCAGCTGGCAAGGGGAGGCCAGGAGAGGAGGCCAGATGGGGCGGCTGCCTCACCTTCGTCATCCAGCAGCACGTTCTCAGGTTTGAGGTCTCGGTAGACGATGCCTCGCTGGTGCAGGTGCTCCAGGCCGCTGAGGATCTGGGCCGCGTAGAAGACGGCACGTGGCTGCTGGAAGCCAGGGTTCTCCTCGTCCACATTGTAGATGTGGTACCTGGAGGCAGACTATGCGGAGGCCTGTGCTTTTCTGGCACGGCCACAAGAGCGTGAAGATGGTTGGGGTGGAAGTAACATCTTGGGAAAACAGGGAGGGCCTCAGAACCCTATGCTGTGTCCGTAAAGCATCTGGTCATTTTGGAGCCTCAGTATTTAGCCTGAAGAGCCTGTGGCAACATTAGGGCCCCTGGCAGCTGGTGCCCACGCCCTCAAGATCTTTCCCACAGGTGTTATGGGGGAAATGAGGCAGCAAAGTTCAGTCCTCTCGCCTCCCAGCTCTGGCCTGCAGGGCCATTCTACTACCACCAAGCGAACAAGTAAGGGCAGAAGGGGGCATAGGAAGTCTGCATGAGCAGCCTGAGTTACCCAAATATAAGCAGTCAATACAGAGTCATGTAAGCCTGTCGGCTATTTCACCCAACCCGGACATGCAGACTCCTGGCTAGGCCTGCAGCAGGACCCTCTCCCAACCTCAATCCCCTGTAACTGTCCTTCCTCATGTTTTCCACTGCCTCACTTTGCACAGGGGCAAAATATAACAAATAAAAGGAAATAAATTACACTAGATAGCAACCAGGGAGAATAGAGGCAGATCAGGAAACATTAAATATATATATATATATATATATATATATATATATATATATATATATGGAGAGAGAGAGAGAGAGAGAGAGAGAGAGAGAGAGAGAGAGAGAGAAACCCTAAAATCAGCCTGAGAATGAGACAACTGGAATCCTAATATATAAAAACCCTGGGTCTGTTATATCCACAACAACTGGGAGGCTCAACCAACCAGAAGTCAGTCCCACAGTCAGTGATGGGTTGCCATGGTGACCCAGCACTGACTGCTATGGCTCCAAGTACAGTGACCCAGCACTGACTGCTGAGGGGGTTATGAATCAGGCCCGGAGACAGGCCTAAAGATAGAAGCAGCGTCTGATCCGTAGCCTCTGTGGCAGCTGTTGATCAGCACTTGCCTCTCTCTTTCTTTCCAGCCTGGTCAGCAGCAGCACCTCTATTTCTCTCCAGGCCTCTACCAGGGCTGCTAATCAGCCCTGCCTTTCTGATCAGACCCTGTTGATAGACCCAGAAATGCTGATTGGCATAGAAACCAACCAATTAGAAACAAATCTGGGTCAACTGTGAGGAGCCAATGACTGCCTAAGAGGTGGAGCTTTTGATGCTGACTAGCATAGAAACCTACCAATCAGAACCAAATTGGCCAGCAGAGGAGGGCAGTTAGAGGCGAGATTAGGCCTGCAGAGGAGGGCAGTTAGGGGTGATCAGGCAGGCAGAGGCAATTAGGCACAATAAGATCAGCAGAGAAGGGCAGTTGAGGGAGAGATCAGACTGGCAGAGGACAGTTGGGGCGATCAGGCCAGCAGGGGACAGCAGTTGGGGGTGAGATCAGGCCAGCAGGGGAGGGCAGTTGGGGGGGGACCAGGCCTGCAGAGGAGGGGAGTTGGGGTGATCAGGCCAGCAGAGGAGTGGTTAGGGGGAGATCAGCCAGCAGACAGAGGCAGTTAGGCAGGCAAGCAGTTAGGAGCTAGTGGTCCCAGATTATGAGAGGGATGTCCCAGATTGGAGAGGGTGCAGGCCAGGCTGAGGGACACCCCCCCCCTTCAAGAATTTCATGCACCAGTCTTCCAGTCTATAGATATAAAATCTTAAGGGTCCTTTACAACAGAATGACTAGAATGACTAGAATGACCAGTTGCTATGATGTACACTGATCACCAGGGGGCAGATGCTCAATGAAGGAGCTGCCCCCAGCCCGCATGCTCCAATCACCAAGCAGCAGTCCCTGATTGACCTGCCATGGTCAGTCTGCCAGCCAAACTCCTGGTCCTTCCCCCCAGCTGGCAGATCCCAATCGCCCTATTGGAGCTGGGCCCTAGGCTGGGACAGGGAACCAGGGTGGTGGCAGTGGATGCAGGCTGTAAGGGAAGGAAAAAGTGGGGATGCTGGGAAGCAGGACACCTGATTGGTCCTGACCACTGGCCAGGCTTAGGGACCCCACCTATGCACGAATTTCGTGCACTGGGCTTTTAGTATATTATAATGTTGTGTAGTATGGTACAGTGTAATGCAATGTACTAGAGTATAATATAATATAGTACAATCCAGTGCAGTATGGAATGGTATAATATAGTATAGTATAGTATAGTATAGTACAGTACAGTATAGAATAGTATATCGATAGTATAGTATATGGTATAGTATAATGTTGTAGAGTGCAGTGTAGTGTACTAAGGTGTAGTGTGGTGTAATATACAGTAGCATAATGTAGAATGTAGTACAGTACAGTATCATGATCATTTCTACCCTAAGTCATGTTATTTGTGCTTCCTAGGCCCCTCTGCTCCCCTTCTGTGTGACCTTACAGGAGTTACTTAGTCAAGGACTCAGAACCCTCATCAGGAAAATGGGGCCAACTAACTTACTTGGCAGAGTTCAGGGGAGATGAACCAAATGGGAGAATGCAAATAACAGCAACAGCCATGCCCCCTTGTGTGTAAGCAACTGTGACCCTCTTAGTGCCTCACACGCACCAGCCTCCTCTCCACAGCCTTTGAACACCGGTGTCATTGTTATACCCAATTCACAGACCAGCACACTGAAGCAAGAGCTGTCAGGTCGCCCAGCTAACAAGTGGGTCTTTCCCCCTCTGAGAGCCAGTGACCTGATTTCCCCTGGGAGCCCAGGACCGGGCCGTCGGATCCCTGGCAAATCAGGCACCGTGCATTGCTGCCACCCGGTTCTCTCTGCCGATGACAAGCAAAGCAATCGTTCCCAAAGTTGGCCACATCGTGTTTCCAGCTCTGCCGCCATCCCCAAAAGCGGGTCATTGATGAAGATCATCTCCATTTACCAGTCTTTTCCATACAAGGCCCTCAACTCCCCTGAGGTTCCCACTACCCCTTTACTCACCCGCCCCAACTAGCACTCAGCCCACAGTTCCCCGTGCTGCCCACCCTACTAACCACCTCCCATCCACACAAACCGGAGGACTAGAGCGCCGTAGCCCCACACCCTCACGAGGTTCCTGAATTTCACATGGGACTGAGGACACATCATTTTGAGTATCAGCAAGCGGAAGGCAGAAAAGAGTGGATTTTGATGGGGCATTTCCTCAGATGTCACCGCTGCCTTAGCAGTGAGAAGCGGCCTCATTGGCCCCAGAAGTCCCCTCCCTAAGCTGAGCCACTCCAGCCCTCCCAGCCCCCAGCTCCCACACGGGAGAGAGGAATCCTACTTACCTTAAGTCGCCTCCATTCATGATGGTCATCACCAGGCAGAGGTCAGTTTTGGTTTCAAACGCATAGGCCAGAGAGACTATGAACCTGCTGTGTACTTTCGACAGAATCTTCTTCTCTACCATAGCACCCTGAAAAGCAAGATGTCCAAAAAACAACCCGGGTTAGGCGGGAAAGTGGCGTCGCCATAAAAGACAAGGTTCTGCAAACCAGAAAGCACTCCGACAACATAGGCGCAGAGTTGCAGATACATTTTAAAAGTGTTTTTGCAAATTCAGATGTGCAAATGAGTCAGACAGAGCACTTTCCTGCAGCCTCCAGTAAGGGGCACTCCAGACAATGCATCTTAAACATGTCAGGTGGGGGGTCCAGCTCAGTCCCTGGCTGCCTATTCATTGCTGACTTTCCTTCCTGTCCTTTCTTTTATATATTTGTACTTTTTTTATTTCAGAGAGGAAGGAAGAGGGGGAGAGAGATAGAAACATCAATAATGAGAGAGAATCATGGATCAGCTGCCTCCTGCATGCCCCCAACTGGGGATTGAGCCTGCAGCCCAGGCATGTGCTCTGACCAGGAATCGAACCATGACCTCCTGGTTCACAAGTCGGCGTTCAACCACTGAGCCACGCCAGCCAGGCCCCGCCCTTTCTTACATCTAACCAGTCATCCTGCCAAACTCTCAGCGCCTTTCCTCCTGGCCAGACCTCTGGCAGCGGATAGTGAGGTCTCAGCCATCCTGCACCTCTGTTCATGTTCTACCTTTATTGGAAACCTCGTGGTGTCCATTGAACATGGTTTTTAAAGTTGTGTTTGGAATCCCTTTCGGAAGGAGGAGTGTGTGGTGTTGGGAGAGGCCCCTTTCTGTCCATGTGGCCTGAGAAGACCTTGGGTTGACTTCACTTCATGCTATGTTCAGGAGCGTCCTGACCGTGGGTGAGAAGAGCCTGTAGCGCTCTCATTGCTGGATTAAAATTACAGGCAGACAACCAAGAGGGAGGGATAACAGCTTCCCCACAAAGTCTCACCATCCAGGAACCCTGGGAGGGGTGCTCTGTGGAGGCTGCTGAGCACCCCGAGAAGCTGCATTCCCCCCACCCCTCATTGGACTGTGCAGCAGGAAAGAAACAACAAACCGTGCAGGACAGAGTGTGGGGCTGAGGGATGAGCTCCTAAGACCTAAGCAGCTTTCGCTGATCCTGCCCAAATGGGCTCTGACTCCAGCTGGAGAGAGCGGACCCCACTCAGAGCCTCCACTCCGTCCCCGTCCCTGGGACACTGCCCTCGGGGAGCAGCCTGCCCCCAGCGTCACAGGCAGGCTCGGCCTCACATAAAAGACAGCCCCCGGCCCTCTCCATTCCCCGTGCATGCGCCATCACAGCCAAAGCCGGGGCTTGGGAACGCTCCAGAGAGTCCGCATACAGACTGGAGGACAGTCCCAGACGGCCTCCCCAGCAGGGCCGCTGTGCTTGGTGGTGCTGGTGGAAACCAAGGGCAACAGGACGTGGCGCGTCACCCACACCAACAGATGCCACGACCGCTCTCCAAGATGGGACATCAGCCAAAACTGGTTTGGCTCAGTGGATAGAGCGTCAGCCTGCGGACTGAAAGGTCCCGGGTTTGGGGATTCCGGTCAAGGGCATGTACCTTGGTTGCGGGCACACCCCCAGTTGGGGATGTGCAAGAGGCAGCTGACCGATGTTTCTCTCTCATCGGTGTTTCTAACTCTCTCTCTCCCTTCCTCTCTGTACAAAATCAATAAAATATATTTTTTTTTTAAAAGGAGCAGCTGGACACACCGTGCCCCGGGCCGGAGACCGCAGGGGCCACACGCCGCCTCCTCTGCCACTCCCCTCCAGGCCGGGCGCACGGCCGCTGGCACCGGCCGCTGGCACGGCACAGCTGGGGCTGACTCAGGTCAAGGAGACGCAGGTGAACTAGAAACCGGCCATGGCTGCACGACGGGAGGGGTTCGGTGTCCAAACAGTAAGGTGAGCCAGCCGCCTGAGCCCCCGAGGGGCCTCCCAGCCCAGGGACCCCACCCCACCCGCCCATCTGCCAGACCCAAGAGGTGCCCTCCACCGTGCCTGGCCGCGCTGCCCACCTGGTACCCCTTCCTCTTCTTCAGCCTCTTCTTGTTCAGCCTCTTGCACGCGTACATCTTGCCCGTCGCCTTCATCTGGCAGGCCGACACCTCCCCGAAGCCCCCTTTCCCCAGCACCCGGAAGTCCAGGAACCAGTCCTCGCCCGTGGGCTGCGCCTCCAGCCACTTCCACTGCAGGAACCGCTGGAAGTGCAGGCTGCCCAGGAACTCCTGGAACGGGGCCTGGCTCAGGTGGGCCAGCGTGGCCTGCAGCAGGGGCTGGAAGAGCCCATCCCCGCTCGCCACCGGCCCCTCCCGGGCCTTGGCTGCCGTCCCCTCGTCCAGGAAGCCGCAGAAGAGCTTGGCCTGGGGGTCCAGGTACTCCGCCAGGATGGCCCGGGCCTTCTGCGGCCGCAGGTCACCGTCGATCGTGTCGTAATCCTCGATGTCCTTCCAGAGCTCCAGGGCCGGCACGTGCCTCCCGTCGGCCTTCAGGAACTGCTGGAAGAGCCGCTTGCCGATGGGCTGCTCCGAGCACACGCTCTGGAACCGCAGGTCCAGGCTGGCCCCGAGGGCCTGGCACTTGGAGAGCGGGGGCAGCTTGAGCTTGGCCCGGTACTTCTTGTCCCGGGAGGGCGGGCCGCTGCTCCCATCGAAGCTGCCCCGGGCGGTGATGAAGGCAGAGTTGGCCACCACCGTCTCCAAGGACCCGAAATCCATCCTGGCGGCGCCCACCTCCTGCCACTCAGGCGCCGGGGGCCATGAGCGAGGCCTTGGCGCCGATGCCCAGTGCGGGCCTGACCCGCTGCCCTTGGGCCTGTGCCCGGTCCCGGCTGCAGGGACAGGAGGTGTCCCGGTACAGGGATGACTGGGGGCCACACCAGGAGTCCCCGGGAGCCCAGCTGACACAGCTCAGGATAAATCCCAGCCCGGGGTTATGGGGGATGCTCTTGGGGTGGGGCAGCAAGCAGGTGCCAGAAAAAGACAATCCCCTAAGCCGCTCCCAGGAAGATTAGACGGCCAGCCGGCCGGGCTCCTTCCGCAGAAGCCAGCTGTCTTGGCAAACCCCAGGACACCCCAGAGATCCCGTCTTTCTAAGCCGCCTCTGCAGCCCTCTGGCCTCAGCAGCCAGGAGGCCGCCCATTGGTTTCCTTGCTGAGACAGGAGGCCGGACTCAAGGGAGAGGGGCCCCAGGAGAAACTTTAATGTAGGAGGATGCCTGGTTTCTTTCCCGGGCAGATTTTATTTCTATCTTAAAGAAAAATAGCCAGGGAGAAGAAAACCTGCTGAAGTGGGAATTGAGAGAGAGAGAAAGAGAGAGAGAGAGAGGGGAAAAAAACAAACAAAACCCACAGGGCACAGCATTCTGCGTATCCCCTGAGACCACTGGCCCTGAGGAACCGGCCAGTCTGAGAGCTGACTTGTCCTGTCCTGACCTGAGCCTGAGAGGGCGGTGCTCCCGTGTCACATTGTTGGCTCAGACATAGATACCCCGGCACTTGCTGAGAGGACAGCTCTATATCAGTTCCTTCCCCTCGCTTGGGGTTGCCTGCAAAACCAAAATGCCAAGAGGAGTATGGAGTTTCCTCAAAAAACTGAGAATGGAACTCCCACTCCTAGGAGTATATCCTAAGAAGCTATTGATAGAAACACCAATCAAAAAGGATATATGGCCGAAGCTGGTTTGGCTCAGTGGTAGAGTGTCGGTCTGCAGACTGAAAGGTCCCAGGTTCGATTCCGGTCAGGGGCATGTACGTTGGTTGCGGGCACATCCTCAGTACAGGGTGTGCAAGAGGCAGCTGGTCAATGTTTCTCTCTCATCAACGTTTCTAGCTCTCTATCTCTCTCCCTTCCTCTCTGTAAAAAAATCAATAAAATATATATTTTTTTAAAAAAAGGATATATGCACCCCTATGTTCATAGAAGCACAATATACAATAGCTAGGATTTGGAAACAGCCTAGGTGCCCGTCAGCAGATGATTGGATCAAAAAACTATTGTACATCTACACAATGGAATACTATGCTGCCATAAAAAAGAAGGGATTCTTATCATTTGCAGCAATCTGGATGGAATTGGAGAACATCATGCTGAGTGAAATAAGTCAGTCAATGAAAGAGAAACACCACATGACCTCACTCATTTATGGATAATAAAGAACATTATAAACTGATGAACCAAAAGATAGATACAGAGACAGTCAAATTTCAGGGGGGAGGGGAGGGAGATCTGGGGAGATAATAGATCAACAGAAGGACTTGTATACATGCATATAAGTACAACCAATGGACACAAAACTCTGGGGAGGGAGGGCATGTATGGGAGTGGGGGAGAGGGGATTGGCAAGCTATGTACACATATAATACCTTAATTTAAAAAAATGCCAAGAGGAGCTTTCAGGTGAGATTAGGACAAGGAAACAGAAGAGGTGTGCACGTGCACACACACACACACCTGCAAGCTACACCCAGTGCTGAGGCCCCACACAGGAGTGAGAGAGGCCAAGGACACACCTGGGGCTCAGCTGAGGGATACCTAGGACACACCTGGCATTCACCCAGGGCACATCTGGGGCACACCTGACAGGCACCTTGGGCACACCTGGGACACGTCTGGGGAGGCCAGGACCAACAAAAATGTTGGTTTCATAATGCTGCAGCCTTATCTGTCTATTCTACCACACAGTGGGTGCTCAGCAAATGTTTGGGAAAAAGTGTCAAGGAAGTGAGGAGGAGGCTGGTTGTAGTTTAAAGAGGAGAGGAAATGAAGGGTTTCAGAGACGAAGAAAGCCATAGCCAGGTGAGGTGGGGACCTGTGCATGATGGGAGAAGAGTGTCTGAGGGCAGTGAGATTCTGCCAGAGGGTGTGGGGCAGGCGGGACCCTCTGAGGCAGCTGGAGAGGTGGAAATGAGGACTCGATGGCTGTGCAGCCAGTCTTCCTGCCTCCCTGCCTCTCAACCAAGCGGGCTGTGGATCCAGCCCAGCCACTTATATTTTGTGAACCTTAGAACAATCTTTCTAACCTCGTCCTGACTACACCATCAGAGTCCAAATGGGACATGCATCCCCTGCCAGCGTTCCCCCTGTGTCTTGGGTCAGGGCTTCCACACGGCACCAAGCAAACTGCCTGGGTAACTTGTGAAATAAAGGTTCTGCCTCCACGGCTCCCACTGGTGCTACCACTGCCCATCAGGACCCACCATGAGAAGCCAGGCCCATCCAGCTAATCCAGAGCAACAATCTGGGGAAGGAGAAGCAGTGGTTAAACAAAGCTTAATGCTTCTCTTGAACTTGGCTCTCTAAGAGAGGTCCAGTATGTGGCATTTCCTGAACTGGTGTGATTCTGGAACCTCCCTCTTTATTTAAATTGCACTTCTTATTTGACAATAATTGTAGATTCATATGCAGTTAGAAGAAAGGATCAAGAGAGATCCCCTGATTGGATTAACAATTCTCAGGGGGGAAAGGTTCTGAAGGGTGCGGGAAGAGATTGGACAAAAATCTTACACCTATGGATGAAAATAGGGGTGGGGATAAGGGCATGAGGTGGAGTTGGGAATCAGGTGGAAGGGAGCTATGGGGGAGGAGGGAGGAAATAGGAACACCTATAATAATCTGAACAATAAAGATTTATTATTTTTTTTTACAGTGACATCACCACCGACCGGAGTAAAACCCCTGGATTGGGAGAAATTCGCTCTCTCTTCGGCCATGCTGCCGGCGTGAGTGGGACAGAGCCCATGCTAGCATGGAAAAAGCTCTTTTGTTTATTGCATCGGACTCGGCTCCCTGGTGGTCCTTGGGGATCACGAAGTCTGGGCGTAACACTTTCCTCTGAAGTTTGATGGTTTGATCCATGCTTCTTTGTCTCTGGATCTGTTTTGTTCATCAGTTTATGTTGTTCATTATATTCCACAAATGAGTGGGGGGGGGGGGGGGGGAGATGTATTACTTTTTTTTTTTTTTTTTTTTTTTGAGAGAGAGAGAGAGAGAGAGAGAGAGAGAGAGAGAGAGAGAGAGAGAGAGAGATCCCCTGAACCCTTCCCTCGGTTTCTCCCAACAGTAACGTCTCCCCACACCAAAGCACGAGATCACAGCCAGGATACTGACCCTGACACAGGCACCACAGAACACTTTGTCCCCACAAGGATCCCAATGTCGCCCATGTGTAGACACACACCCCCTCCTCCCCCCGCCCACACTCTCCTGAACCTCTGGCAACCACTCATCTGTTCTCCATCATTTCAAGAACGTTCCATAAATGGAATCATCTAGTACATAACCTTTGGGGGTTGGCTCTTTATACTCAGCATAATCCTCTGGAGATTCACCCAGTGTGTTGTGAGCACAGACAGTGTTATTGCTCAATTCTGTGGTGCCGATGGACCACCATTGGTCTGACCATTCACTTGTTAAAGGGCATCTGGGTTGTTTCAGTTTGGGGCTAACATGAATAAAGCAGCTCTAAGCATTCATGTACATATTTTTGTGTAAATTTCCCTTTCTTTGAGATTAATGCCCAAGAGTGCAGTTCTTGAGTTATATGGTAACTAATTGCATGTTTGGTTTTTCTAAGAAACAGGTAAACTTTCTTCAGATTGGCTGTACCATTTTACATTCCTACCAACTACATGAGTTATACAGCTTCTCAGCATCCTCCCCAGCTTTCGGTGTTGTCACTATTTTTTATTTTAGTTACTCTGATAGGCATGTAGTATTATTTCGTTGCGGTTTTAATTTGCGTTTCCCTCGTGGCCAGTAATATTGAACATCTTTCCATGTGTTTACTTGACATCTGTTTGGTGAGCTGTCTCTTCATGTCGTTTTACCATGTTCTAACCGAATTGTTTGCTTGTTTACTGTTGAGTTTTGAGTGTTGTTTACCTATCTTAGATCCTTTGTTGGACTTGCGGTTTTCAAATGCTTCTTTCCAATTTTTGCTTGTCTTTTCATTCATGTTACAAGGGCTTTCATAGAACAAAAGCTTTCTTTATGTCGTTGAGGTGCAATCTATTTTTCCTTTTCTGAATTGTGCTTTTGGTGTCAAGTCTAAGAACTCCTCATGTTTATTTTTCCATCTTCTCCCAAATTCAACCTTCCCATTCAAAAGGTTTTATACTTTTACTTTTAAATCCATGATCAATTTTAAGTTAATTCTTCTACAACATGTGAGACTTCGGTCAAGGTTCATTTTTTGCCAGTAGTTGTTCAATTGCTCCAGCTTCTCCTGTTGAAAAGGTTGTCTCTGCCTCATTGAATTGTTTGTGCAGCTCAAAAATCAGTTGGGCATATTAGTGTGGTTCTGTTTCTGGGCTTCCTAATCTGTTCCATTGGTCTCCGTGTCTATCCATCCACCAATACCTCACCATCTTGATTGCTGTGGCTATTTCTGTCTATATTTATGAAGAATATTGTTCTGTAACTTTATATTTTTGTGCGTGCTGTTTTTATCTGATTTTGGCATAAGAGTAATACATGTCTTATAAATCAATTGGGAAATGTTTCCTTCTCTTCTATTTTCTAGAAGACATGGTATATAACTTGTAATTCTTCATTAAATGTTTGGTAGAATTTTTCAGTGAATTGGTATGTTTTCAATTATGAAATCAAGTTCCTTGCTAGTTATATGGCTATTCAAATTATCTATTTTGAATTGAATTAGTTATGTGTATTGAAGACATGGTCCATTTCATCTAAGTTGTCGAGTTTATAATTGTAGAGTTGTATATAGTACTCCCTTATTATCTTTTTGAACTCTTCGGGGTCTGTAGTGATATCTCATTTCATTTCTGGTATTGGTTATTTATGTTTTCTCTCGTGCAATAGTGCTGTTGATTTTATTGGTCTTTTGAAAGATCCAGTTCTTTGTAGTTTTACTGATTTTCTCTTTTGTTTTTAATTTCACTGGTTTCTGCTCTTATCTTTTATTTCTTTCTCCTGTGTGTTTTCCTCCCTCTTTTTTTCTAGGTTTTTTAAGTGAAAACTTAAGTTTATTGATTTGAGACTTTTCCTCTTTTCTAATATATTAATTCATTGCTATAAATTTTCCTGTGAACACTGCTATTGCATTCATTCAGCCCCATGTATTTCTTGAAATTTCTCTCAAGGCTTCCTTTTTTACTCATATATTACTTAGAAGTATATTGTTTAGTTTTCACATTTGGAGAGTTTTCTGTTATCTTTCTGTTATTAATTTCTAGTTTGATTCCACTGAGATTGTAGAACACATTCTACATTATTTTATTTATTTTCAAATTTGTTAAACTTTGTTTTATGGCCTAGGATATGGTCT